TATACACATATATAATTATATATATAAAATATATATGAAATGTATAAAGATAATAATTGTGGACTTGACGATTTGGTGGCCAAAGCACTCATACCAAGAGATCAAGATAACTTTCAGAACTCCCAGTCCTTCCGTGGTTGTCGAGGACCTGTTTCCAGCGTCAGATGGTAGTGAATAAATGACAGGATTTGATTCGTACAGAGGAAATCCATTTACGAGTTTCTGCTTCAGAAGACATGCAGTCAGTTTTCTGCTTTGCAGGACAGATCTGGCAGTCAGACCCAAACAGAACAGATCTGTGCATGCTGTGGGTGTCACTGGTGCCCTAGGGTGTGCACCAGATCCCACTGGAGGATGCGATCCCTCTGCTCTGCTGCAGCTCCCAAGGGCTTCAGGAGCGAGGTGGTGTAAGGGACCTCAGTCATGTTTGTAATGGGTTTTTAAAACAGTTAATCTCATAAATATAATCTTGTATTAATAACAGAAGTGGCTTATCCTGATTTGGTAGGTCACACTGGCTCTTCATGCGGGTGCATGAGGGTGGCCTAAAGCCCATAAGCACTGGCATTCTGAATCACGTACTGCGCTGCCCACATCTCTCTCCATTGTTTCTTGCCTCTCCCACAGAAGAGAAAAAAAAATCTCCTTTGAGTCTTGGTTCCAGTTCTTTAAATGCCATGCAAACAAAGGGAAAAAGAAACAGCCTATGATCCTGCTGACTAAAGTAACATTTTAAAGCCAAAAAAGACATCCATGTGTCTCTGGAGGCCTTTGCCACTTGCAGGACTGCACCAAAACTGCTCCAGAAATTGCAGGTGGCAGACAGTGGTGAAAGAGATCTCAGGCCATTTCGGTCATGGGGGATGCACTGATTTATTCCCAGAATAAATCAAGTAGAGTAACAAAACAATACAAGTTGTGTACAAGATGAACACCTCCTTCATAACCTTCCTGGCCAGGGGGGAAGCTCTGCAATTGCAATGTCATTCTCTTCCCACCATGGCTGTGATCACTCTTTTCATTAACACTACCATGCTCTGTGTCATTGGCATCCAGATGATAAATTCAAATGTCATTTCTCTAGAAAAATAATTAAGAAATAGTTTAATTCTCTTTAACTTCTCTTCAAATGAAATGCTGTGACACCCTGTCTTTTTGTCAGTTATGCTCTTATTTTGGATGGTTTTGTGATGGTTTATTTGTAGTAAGTTACTCATCGTCAATACTCAAGGGTTTAACTGAATCTGTCTCTCTTTTTACTGATATGGTAAAAGTGAAAAGAAGAGAAAGCAAGCAGTACACACCCTCGTGTAAGCTATATGGAGTCTGAGTACATAAAAGACAAATATTTTGGCCATATTCAAGTACAGAGAAAGCGCTGTCTTCTTGCAGAAGGGATCAGAAAATCTGTGATGGCTCAGATTGAGGTAGTGAAGATTGAAAATGGAGGTTGAGTTAATTTGTCCATTTCTGTTGGCCTACACCAGAAAATATGTAGCAAATAAAATAAAGGTAAAAAACCTGAAACCATAAAGGAACAATTGACTTTTAACCAATAACAAAAGAATAATGAGAACAGATTCACCTCTGAATGGAAGCAAAGCACCATTCCCTTAAAGCTAGGTGTGAGAGCTGCAAAACCTTCAAATCCTATTTCAAGGGTTGCAAAGGAGTGAAGTGGTGGCTGTTTCTACACTGCTTTGAGCAGTGCTTTCCCTTGTGTGAGTCTGCTGCATCTTTGGAGCAGTTTCTCTGTAAATTCACAGCAACTTCAGACTGCCTTGGTCAGAGATGAATGTTTGCACTGAAGCTTTTTACTTTACTGAACACTTTGGGGTTTAGCTTCTGTTGAAAGCACATTGATGTTTTAAAGCCCTTTGAAATGACGGCACATTTCCTGCAGCTCGCTGCTTTTGAGCCATCTGGCCATTGAAATCTTCTCACCAAAGAGGTTTTAGAAGGTGTAATGCAGCCACAGGTGTCATTCAAACTGGAGCCGATGGGGTCAGCCCTTAGGAAACAAGATTAAAACCTTTGAGTAACCTTCAGATTCACTGGGTCCCTGGGGTGTGTTTTGTCTTTAGGCCTTGTCAGCACAGCAGGGATTTCATTGCTGCCAGGCACCTGGTGCTGTGGCTGTTAGGGACCACTTAGTTACCCTTGGTGACAGCATCTCTACACGCTTGGCCATTGCAAGATGAAATTACAGTCTCCAGGCCTCAGAAAAAGTGTGTGGTAAAGTTTACAGAACAGAATCACAGAATCACAGAACGTTAGGGATTGGAAGGGACCTCAAAAGCTCATCCAGTCCAACCCCCCTGCCGGAGCAGGAACACCCAGATGAGGTTACACAGGAAGGCGTCCAGGCGGGTTTTGAATGTCTCCAGAGAAGGAGACTCCACAACCTCTCTGGGCAGCCTGGGCCAGTGCTCTGTCACCCTCACTGAGAAGAAGTTTCTTCTCCAATTGAAGTGGAACCTCCTGTGTTCCAGCTTGTGTCCGTTACCCCTTGTCCTATCATTGTTTGTCACCGAGAAGAGCCTGGCTCCATCCTCGTGACACTCACCCTTTAAATATTTATAAACATGAATGAGGTCTCCCCTCAGTCTCCTCTTTAGTTTAGTGTTGTTAAACTCGGGTACAGCTTCATACAGGCAGTGTTGTATGTGCTGTTGCTACACGCAGTGTCCCACGCCAGCCTCAGCCTCTGCGGTGAGACAGTGACTGCGTCCAGTCCCGTGGGGCTGTGCTGTGGCTGCCACCTCGCTGAGTTTCTGCTCTCGGTATTGGAGAACCTGGTTTTATCAGACTGCAAAGCACGGCCTGGGATTATGGGATGGCTGTGAAACATTTCACTGTTTTTATTGTTCTCAGGGTGGAACCTGCGCTTACCCGGATCAAGGAAGATCGAAAGCGGATCATCTTACCAGCCATTGACAACATCAAGTACAACACTTTTGAAGTGCAGCAATACGCCAACGCAGCCCACGGCTATAACTGGGGCCTCTGGTGCATGTACATAATCCCGCCGCAGGACTGGCTCGATAAAGGGGATGAGTCAGCTCCCATCAGGTAAATCTCCCGTGTGCTGTCATGTAGGTGCTAGTGATGTTTCCATCTCAGCTGTCTGCCGAGGGGGATTTCAGTGAAGCAAGGCCACGGGCTTTGTGCAGGGATAGCAAAATGAGACTGGAGAAAGCAGATGGCTCTGCGAAGCTGTGGGGGTGTGTGTTGCATCTCGGGGCTGCCCCACAGTGTGCACAGCAGTGCGGGCGCTCTGGATGTGAATGTGCGGTTCAGGTCCATGCTGTGACCCTCAGTAGGATGGCAGGATCTCTTCATCTGTGCTTTTATTTTCAAACGGAGTCTGGGATGAGTAAAGAGCCAGTGAAACACTCTGTGTGTCAGAAATGAACTGTGTGGTTTTAAGAGGCTGGCTTCACTGTGGGTCTGTAAGCACCACTCCTGTCCATCTGCCCGAACCAGAGCTGCCCAGCAGCACTCACAGGACTTGTGTGAGCCCTGGCCTTGCTGGAGAGTTGCTCTTTTTTGAGAGAACTTTGCACACGTTCAGGGTTTTCCCAATGGCTGAATTTTAAAATGAAACTGGACCACAAAGGCTGAGTGTAATTTTATTTTTCTCTATAAAGGAAGATTTTACCTTGCAGAGATGGAATTTTCAAAGGAAATAGCGTTTCAGGAACTGTGATAGTGTTTTTGAGAGTTGTTGCAGTGGGAAAACAGGAACTGATATGAAAAGGGCTTGCTTTCTTCTTCATTGAAAACTCTTATCTTGTAGCCCTTCATCTCCAGAGCAGATGCTTGTCTAACTGAGGTGTGCTGTGCTGGGTAAAGGGAACTCTTGTTAGCAACTATTGAAATAAATACTAAAAAACATGAAGCCCAGGTATGCACTTTAGCTTGCTGTGCCCTGATTTTGAGATTTCTTAGGAAATTACCACCTTAAAGTCGTCCTCATTTTGCTGTATATCAGCTTCATCCTCGTGAACTCAAACCCTGTTGTGTGGTCCCAGTGCAGGCTCTGGCACAGAAGCTGATGTGCTTCCCTTCCAGCGCAGAGCTTGAGTGGTCAGGTCCTGAGTCGTCCATCCAAACACTTAAACATAGGCCACGGAAAGGATCCAGAGGGTCTTTTGGCAATGAAAGGACATGGTCGAACTGATCCCATTTTGTGTGACTGGTTGGATGGGGCCATCTCACAGGATCGTTCCTCATACAGGAAGTAATTCTTCAATCCGGGTTTGAGCAAGTGGTGCAAGTTGCACTTAGGTTCATTCTCATGCCCTGTGACTGCAAAGCAGGGCTGTACACCAACATTAACCTTATTTAGCACAGTCCTTCATCGCTGACCCTTTGCTCAGCTTGAAACCGCAGTAAGCAGGAAAGCAATTACTTAGGAAATCGGTTTTCCTGGATAACATGCCCTGCTCTCCTCATTGTTTAAAAAGTGCAGGTGTTTTATATCTATTTCATTCAGCCCTGAGAAATAGTTTATTGAAGAAGGAAAATCAATCAGCCAGAGCTTTCATTCCTGAAATCAGAGTTGCAGTCTTTTATTCCTGAAAGGTTTTGCACACTTCATTACTTCCACTTTATATGTGAAATCACTGTATTAATTTTCACATGAGTTGTTCTAGTATTTGAGTATCTCCTGTTCTGGAGACAATGATCACCTCTCAGGCAAGGCTGAGCTAAGAGGTTAAACCTCTGTGGGTTCTTCAGATGTGATTTTCAGTGGAGGTAGCTTGTGCCCTCCCTAAAGCATGGAAGCTGCATCTGCAAAACACTTCTGGAAATTCAACCATTGATCTTTTTGATAGAGAAAAGGGAATCTCAGCCCTGTAATGCTGGGATGAGAGTTTTTTTCCAGCAATGTAGGGCCTCATTTACTATGGGTTTTCCACAGGTTTATGTTCATGCTCTTGCCAGAGTTGTACTGGCGCTGAGTTGGACTGATACAAAAGGGAACAAAGTCTAAACTCAGACACTGCGCAGTGTTGACATCTGCTGTGTGTAAGCAGCTGTCTCCTGAAAGCAGTGACTTTGTTCTGAACCTGGGTGAAGAACCCTCCAGTTCAACAGTGCCTGAACTACCCAGAGACAGAGCAGAGCACCCAGCCCTCGCTAGCAAAGACCAGGAGCACGGAGGGGCTGTGATTGCATGGTTACCTCTCCTGAAAACTATGGATTAGATGCCCTAAAATGCAGCGACACCAACGTCAAAGCGTGAACGCTTCCCTGTCTCCCTGGGAACGTGTGCGTTGAAGGCAGTGCTGCAGGAGAGCAGAGCACCCACTCCATACCCACACTGCGCTGGTTTCTGATGGGCCTCCAGAGCGGTAGCACCGCAGTGGGTTTGCTGAAGCATTTGACTGTGCTGCTGCATTATGCCTGGCTATAGAAATACAGTGCCATTTTGTGGCTTTTAAGTGATATGCCAGTGTAACTAAGATAATGGAGAGAGTGAATGAGTGAGTGGTATTGATGAAAAGAATCAGGAGGTCTGTACTTAGAACTGAGATTAGAAGGCAGCGATGATGGGAACTTACTCGCTGTATAAAAATTAAGGTATATTTTGAAAAGGAAGGGGAAAATCACACTAGGGAGCAAACTTTTAAAAAAGTCTCTGTTGGTTTGGTGCAGATTTTGGTTTTGGAACCAGCTTTCCACAGCCTGTACTGCAGCTCTGATTTCTGTTTCAGCCCAGTTTGCGAAGCACGTGAACTGGTCTGCACTGATGGGGTTTGGATCTCTGTATCTGCTCAGTGCATTCATATAATTGCAGGACTGTTCATCCGCATAAACATTGCAAGCTCCTTAGTCCTTGCTCACACGTTTCCTCTTAAGGCTTCCTTTGGCACTGTGTTCAGCAAACAGAGGGTTTTGTGCCTCTGTGTGCATTTTGTAAAAGAAAAGGTTAGTAACTAATATGACTGGTTTGGTGGTTGGTGTAGCTGAATGCTCCCTCCCAAATCTCCACAGGGCTTAAAGATTTTCAGTGTTAAAAAATGCATACCCTGTTATCAGTGAGGATCAGAGCAGTGACATTGCTGCTGTTTGCACTGTATGAATAAATATCATCAATCAGCAGGATCAGGTGAGACATTTAGAAAGTGGAGTCCAACTCCTGTTTTCTTCTGGGATTACTCAACAAATGTGCTTACTTCTTTCTCAGAAGTTGTCTATTTGGGGCTTGATTATCTGCATTCTTGGGCTCCGGCAGTGCTGTGATCTTGCCCAGGGCCGTGCTGGGCAGAGTTGGATGTGTCTTTCCAGTCAGTGGGGCTCCACATGGGCACCCATGTTGAGTGCACACTGTAAAATGTCAGATTCGCTGCTGTGGTCCAAGTCACAGAGGGGATGTGGTCTTGAAGTACCAATGAAGATAAAGAAACATCAAGAAGAAAGTGTCAGATTTTGTAAAGATTTCTGATACAGTTTAAAGTCAGTTCTCTTTTTTTTTCTCTCTGAAATTCAGAACAGTTGATGTTCCCTGAATCGGTTTCTGCAGGCAATCCATTTTGCATGTTTGACATTTGAGGTGTAAGATATCTCTAACGTGATGATTTAAATGAGGGTTGTTATTTTGACATGCTATGTCCATCACGTCATTTTCCATTTGTGTTCCCGAGAACACACTGCCCAAAAACATCCTTATCATCTGGCAGCAAACTGTGTAACAAAGGATCCCATTTCAGAGGGTTTCTAATGAATTTGACTACGCATTGAAACAAGCTGGGGTTTTTCTGTATGCAGAAAATAATGGTGGTTTTTGGAAGGGCAAGGAAGATCTCTGGTATCCCGAGCTCTGGCTCATCTCCCTTCACCTGCCACGGTGACAATGGACCACTCTGTACCCGATTTCCCGATCAGCAGCAACCAACACTGCAATTGTCAGTCGGCCGCACCCAGCCAAGTGCTGCACCGCTTTCCACTTCATCTTCCTCCAGCAGCACTGGTGCATTTCATTGCTGCATATGTTCGCACTTACTGCTTTAATACGCCATAGCCTGGTACCAGTATGAATGTGTGTGTGCGCTGAATCAGCCACTCCAGAAAGCACGTGTGTCTCGCCCGTGTGTATCAATTAGCATCCGATGTGCCCCCAGTGAAGTGGTTTTAGCTGCCTGCGGTAGCTGGGACCGTGTGTGCCCATCTCACGTTGAATCTGGGCCCTGTGCTGGGCTGCCAGGGCGACAGGGATGCAGCCACACTGGAAGAAATCCATCTCTGTGCATAGCTCAGGAAGGGGCTCATCTGTAAAGACTTGCAGGACAAACCATGCTGTCAGGAAATAATAAAACTGATGACTGCTTATTGATTGATTGTGGTCATCTTTTCGGTTGCTTGTTCACAGGAGACTGTAACAGAGCACTTTCTTTTTGATTTGCCCAATTTCTGATGGGTGTCCTGCCTGTTCCAAGAAATATACTTCTGTGGGACATCAGAGGGTTATTCTACATCCCTGTTACCCTGCCTTTCATAGCCAAGCATTCTGAGTTGCTTTTTTTCACACACTGTAGCTCTCCAAAGGCATTAACAAGCCTTCCCATCATTAAGCTTGTCAGGTTTTTTCCTGTAGCATCTGAGCAGCAAATCTGTCCTTGAGTTCTGTTCTCACGGCCCGGTGTGACTCCTCATTGCAGAAGACATGAGTGGTGAGAAAAAATAAATGCTCATGAAGGCACCATGCAGGTTTCCCCACTTATCTGCCAGGCCAGGCTGAGGTGCTGCTTAGGGACCTGAACCAAAGAAACATCCTGCCAGGAGAGGTGGAAAACGTAAAGATGCAGCGTGGGATGTGCCATCTGAATCTCTTTGTCTCTTTCCTTGTCCCTGTATATATATGTTTACGTTGATGTATTTATTTATAGTTATATTTGTGTCTGTGTTTATGTATTTGTGTCTGAGTGTTTGTAGGTCAGCTGTGCTGGAAATTGGACTTGTATGCTCTGAACACAGTTTCAAGTGTGACCTGATCACACATATACTTTCCCCAAGGCGGGGGAGAAAGATACGTGAGGGAGAAGCGGATTTACCGCATCACGTGCAGTATATCAGTCTGGTGCTCGTCTTTCTTCTCCACTTCCCTTGATGAAGCCCCCGGCAGCATCCTTCAGTCATCAGTAAAGGGAAGCGGGGATGCACCTGGCTGGAGAAACGGGCATCGGCCCCTGCTGCAGTTCTGCTGATAGAGCTGTGCTCTGGAGCTCTAAAATGCAATAGTTGTGACTCATACCTGCGCAAGGGGTTCTTATTGCTGGCCAAGGTGTCCTGGGTTCGTGGTACTGCAGCAGATGCTGCCCTCGTCCCTCAAAGCCCCGCGCTGCCCTGCAGCAGCTGGGAGGGAAGGAGGGGTGGCTACCACCACAAAGTGCTGCTCTCTGCTGCCTCCCTGCCCAGGGCATCACCCACAGCAAGGTCTCTGCCATCTCTCTGCCATCGGGTAATTTCCACAAATTGACTGTGCTGTATCTTTCTCCAGGGCAGGATCAATACTGTTCTGTGCTGCATTTTAAGGTTTCAGCTGCAAAAGCCATTTCGCTGTGTTTCCCACATTATCCTTTGAGTGCTGTTGCTGCTGATAATTAACGTTTATAACATCCTCAGTTGTGTCAAAGAATATTCCACAGATCAATTAAGCTTCCCAACACCTTTGAAGTGTTGGTAAAAAATAGCAGACCTCTAACTGCTATTTTGTGACACCTTCTAAAAATGTCACTGTTTCACTAGAAAGTACGTGACTTCAGGAAAAATGTCCTGTTCTATAAAGCCGGTGTGCTTGAGGTTAATATATTTTACTCTGAAGCTGTGAAGTGCTAAGGGCCTGCACATTCTCATTTGCTGCCCTTGGCTAGTGAGCAGTGTTTAAGACGTGCTAACGCAGTTGCTTTTGCTCATCTATCCATTTCTGACTGTCAAGGGAAGTGTTGCTGCACTGTACTAACAGTGGTAGATACACTGGAGTTGTTCAGGTACTGGAAAACCAATGGTGACAGCCAAGTGAGGGTTTCATGCTTCCTGAGATTGGGTTTTTTTAAAAGTGTTTGCAATTTGTCAGTGTAACGCTGTAGTCCAGTACAAAGTGATCCATGTATAGGCTTAAAGCACTTTTAGAAGTGCATCTTAGGCTTCCGAGCTGCTGAAACGGTGCTCAGACTTTGACCCAGCTTTGTTATGTGTGCATCAGATGGGGAAGCAGAGGCGAAGGAAGGTGACTCTGCAGATCAGGTGAATGACAGAGCAGGGAATAGAGCCTGGGTCCCCAGCTCACAGCGCTGTTCCCAGCTCACTGGGCCGTGGAATCGCATTGCACTTGGTTTACAGTTGGGTCAGTCAAGGCACAGGGAAGATGAGGGCCTGGGCTTGATGCCCAAAACTCTGGTTGAACCTGATGGAAGGGTTGAACACGCAGTATGCGGAAAATTCGGGGTTGTGCGTGCTCAGCGAGTTCTTCCATTGCAGCAGGGTGCGGCTAGGGCAGAGCACGGGCTTTGCGGCTCAGCTGCTGGGGTTTTGGTTGTGCTACTCTGCAGAGGAGCAGGGGCTGCAGGCAGCCCAATTCAGGTGGAGAGAGGCCCTGGCAGTGGCAGTTTTTGAGTGCTTCACTGAAAAGCTGGATCTGGTTCCTTCTGCCGTTGCACTGCTATTCTTGCTCGTTCCTGAAAACATTTTTTTTTCCTGAATAAGAGTCTGTATTTGGATATATCTAATGAGAAGGAATAAAACCTAGAAGAGAGAGAAGGAGTTGCAAAGGCAGGTCCTCAGTGGCACTCGTCTGAGAGTGATAATTGTGCGGTTGTATCTGAGATGTGTTTCCCACCCCCGTTCAATTAACAAGTCGGTGTTTTAACGGGCAGAGCCGACAGCCGCAAGAATCCATCCCCTGAGAGAGCCCAGCACCTGAGCGCAGTCTGCAGAGCCCAGAGGAGCCGCTCCTCATTAGGAAGGAAGGGGACATCTCCTCATGGGAGCATCCTGCTGCTGTAAGGAGCTGCCACCAGAGGATTTGGGGAGGGGGCTGGAAGGGGAATGAGTCTAAGCCCAAGCCAGCGTCTCAGTTTTGCAAAGCAGTGATGCTCTATCCTTCATCCAGTGAAGCCTGCGTTTAGCTTTAAATACACAAAAAGGAAAATTAAGAAAGTGGCTTGTGTTTCTTCCCACATCTCCTTTACTTTTTTAACATGGTTAACGTTTATTTATTTCACTCCAGAGATACTGAATTCCCTTTCCTTGCTCTTGTCTTTCTTTTATTTCAGTTTCTAGACCAAATTTGTTGCTTGGTAGCCTAAAATACGGTTTTCAGTGACACAAGATGTGATGGTAGAATGTATGTAGCATATGTCATGTCCTGCGTACAGGAGAGCTCTCAGCATTTTTAGGCAAGTCTGTCTCCAGGCACCGCTCTAGGAGCTATAAGCAGGAAGATCCATTTTGCTTAATAACTTGGATTTATAAATGCACCCCTCTTGCAAAGATCCTGATGTACATCCACCAACAAAAGATGGATGTGTCTATCCAGGAGTGCCCAGGACCATGGTGGTTTGCATAGAGCTCTTAGGGCAGTTCTAACCGGGACTGATTCAACAGAAAATCACAATTATCAGCACCAGAGAAGTGCTGGAATCTCCTGCACACACAAAAGGGGGACTGGGGGGTGTGGTCCAGGCACTGAGGGTGACCCTGCTGCACCTTCTTTGTAGGATTTCCTATATCTGGCCTCCAGATTAGATATTCCTCCAGCTGTTCTGACTGAATGGGTACAGGGATCTGGCTGAGACCTCCACTGCTGTCCAAAGGCATCTGTGAAAGCCAGATGTTTGCTTTGTAAATGCCATTGAATCTTGTCCCCCAGCTCGTGATCCAGGGAATGCATCTCTTTCTGTACGGTTGGAACATGAGAGCTAACCAAGCTATTTCAACTTCTTTGTCAGAAACAGTGCCGATCAAATGTGTTTCTATCAACAGCTGCCTTTTTCAATTATGCAGAGAAAACACAAGAGGGATAGTGTGCACTACAGCACAGGCTTGTAATGATCTGAGAGGCTGAGGTGGCTTTCAATCTGAGGAAAAGTGCAAGGGAGAGCTGCTGAAGTGGTACCAGTAATGCAAGTGCTGCAGCAGAGTCCCTCACAGGCAAGTAATACCAGTGCTGCAGCAAATGAACCCTTGCAAGGGCACCAAATAGTCCCTGCCCTGGGCTGGACTGTGTTCTGCAATGTTGGCATATGCATTAGGCGCAGGAGCAAAGAATTGTTTTATCTATCCATACCTTGGCCGCTTGTTTGAAACCTTTCCAACCTCCTGCTGAGGAAACGTTGAGCTGCTGATGAGAAAAGGACCTGGTGTGATCACACTGCTCCAACAGCCTCTGCTGCACCGGGGACCTACCAGTACATGGAGAAAATGCGTTTGTTTTCCCAGCCAGGGCAATTTTTCCACATGGTTGTGATGCTGAATGTTTCTCAGCTGTCATGGGCAAACACCTGGTGAATAACTTTCTGTACAGATTGGAGCAGCGTGCAGGTGTCTGGGATAAGAGAGATTCATAGGGCAGGGTAACACCAGCATCCCACTGCAGTGGGGGTAGCCTGTCCCAGGGTCAGGCTGTGGGGTGACCACCCATGACCGTGCAGCAGGCACCTCTCGCCCTGCAGCTGAACTGCAAGTGGAGCAGGGAGCTGCAGGCTCTTGGTTTTCCACCTTAAGGTTAGTCAAGTTTACATTTTTAAAAATTGTGCCCTATAGAGGCAAAACCCAGCTCCTACCTTGAATTTTCAAGAGGCAGGCATTGTGACCAGTACAGAGATGCAGAGAAAGTGTGGACAAATGAAACTAGAAAATGTCACTAGATTGTATTGCGTTGAAATAACGCTTGTGTTCACATGGTGAATGCTCTCAGAAGTTGTTGTCATGTAGTGCTGCTCAGTGACAGGTTTCAGATTGCTTTGTAAAGGAGAGCAGAACCATAGTTTTACACATAAAGAAACTGATGCTCAGAGAAGGGGAAATTATTTGTCTGGACTCACCCAGTTGTCTGGCTGCAGATCTGAGGGCAGAGTCTCTTCATCTGAAAACTTCTCCTTTTCTAAAGTCTAACCTCAGCAAACAGAGAAATGTTAAGCACGGCACAGCTTCACAAAAGCTGAAATGTACCTCCTAGAGCTGACTCCGGGCAGTCCCTTGCCCAGCTTCACACCATGGCTCTCGATGTACTTGCTTTTCCTATATGGGTAAGGGAAATAATTTCTGACAAAGCTTATGGATGGGGTTTTTTTTGTGTGTTAAATAAAGTGCTGTCTGGTCTTTTGCTACACTGTATGGTGGTGAACTTCAGCTCCAGCACAGAGGTTGCGTCCATAAAACAAAACCAGCCCAATGCGTCGCTTATGCACAGGGGGTGCTTGACTTCACATCTCATGTCTGTCTGACACAGCTGGTCCAGGTGTGGCTGGCAGTGTGCTGGTTGTTTGGGTGGCTCTGGTCCCACAGGGCCCTCTGTCCTTTGAGGGATGAAGTGCAATGTGATTGCAACCTAATAGATAGACCTAAAATGGAAACCTGAAGACTAAGAACTGTTTTGTCTATGTAAATTTATGAAGTGGGTTCTGTAGTAGCTACTAAACAACTTAATTTTTTGCTTAAATCTCTCTGTACAGGACACCAGCCATGATTGGATGCTCGTTTGTAGTGGACCGAGAGTATTTTGGTGAGATTGGCTTGCTCGACCCTGGCATGGAGGTCTATGGAGGAGAAAACATTGAATTGGGCATGAGGGTGAGTACAAAGAAGACACTTTGTGCCATGACCATTTGCAAAGAAAGATGGGGAGCCCATGGCCCAGCAGAATTGCTGTCTGACTGATAGGCTATTACACTGAAGTAATTGATATTGTAACACTGTCTGGCGCTGACAGTCCCAGTAAATGAATGTTCCTGGCCTTACTGGCCTTGAGAGAACTGATAACAGTCAGAAATATGGTTTATTGGCTCAGTCTGTCAGTGTCTGAACCTAAAGAGACAGATTTTCCGCTTCCTTGGTATCTCTGCGTGTGCAAACAGCTGCACTAAGTCTTTGGGTGCTCGTTGCACCCAGATGATGTTGTGTGCTTGGGGCCTGGCAGATGCGGTACCAGCAGAAAACCAAGGCCAGGCTGGTAAAGTCAGTTGTAATGTTCTACACACCACCCATGATGAACGCTGTGGTGATTTAAAGCTTTAAGGGTTGTTCTTTAGAGCAAGAACTACGGGACACAGGTATTTGACCGTCAGAGAGGTCAGAGCAAAGTGTGGACAGGTAACTCTGGGGCAGCATCAGCCCACCCTGTGCATCTGCGCCTATGGGGGTTGACACTTGTGATCCTTCACCCTTGTTTTCAAGGTGGTTCTTGCCAGCAAGTCCTTCTGAGGGCCAAGGAACATGTCTTTGCTTAGCACTTCAAAATTAGGCCACTTAATGTTGCATGAACACAGTTTCCTCATTATAAAGCTGACTGTTTAATTATTTCCCCCTTACTCTTTATTCCCTGCTTCACAGTAACATGTCCCTGGTGCACGTAATGTGCTCATTAAAGCATATATTCTGCTCATGGTGAAACACTGAACATCAGATTAGTCCATTCTGTATCTGACTCCGTTTTTCTAAAATGGCTACAAACTCCTTCACACCAGTGGGCTGAGGAAGAAAGTCACTGCAGCAACGGTTTATTTTCACATATGAGTGTGTATTTATTATTCCAGCATCGCAAGAGGGATAGGGTTTGTAATGGGACTGTGTGAATACACAGCTTATACTTGAAGGTTCAGAATTCACATAGGGACAGAAAAACTCCTACCACAAATCATCCAATTTTCCTTAAGAGGGTCAGGCTATTACCGGGATTGTGTGAGCCTTCCTTTATCATCGTGCAGGGCTTGAGCTGCTTGAAACTTTTCCACATGGCTGCTCCCAGAATAGATTGAACGCTCTGGCAAAACCCTGGCGTGGTTGATGAATAAGCCTCCTAAAAAATCTGAAAGCTGTCACTCTTCCTTAGATGAGAAGAACTTGCTGAGGACGATGAGGGCTCCTGGTAAACAGAGGCAGAGGTTTAATAGGATTATGAAATGGCACTTGCGTGAAGAGAAAAGGATTTGATGTGAGCGAGGACAGGTTTTTAAGGGTAGGCAACCTGTTAAACCTAGGATCTAGAAATGACAGCTCTCAGTCTTTGGGTTTGGGTTGGTTTTGAGGTTTTTTTTTTTGTTTGGGATCTTTTTTCCCCTATAAAGACTAATAATTAACCCTACTGTTTGGAAAAGGCTTTATGAAGGTACAGGAGTTCATTCCAAAATAAGCTGTATGGCCATAGCATGCATCTGTTTCTCTCTGTTCCCAGTCTGGATCTAGCATGGTAAGTAATGTACAGTGTCTGCCTCCTAATTTGCAAGTCCTACGCGTGATCGCCTCCTGCGTGTCTTTCAGAGCTGTCAGAAACCAGCAGTGTGAAAATCCACAGGAACCTTCTCCTTTCTCTCTAGGTTATTTATAAAATCGCTGTGATTTTACAAAGTTTTGTGGTTTTTTTAACCTCTAGAATCTCAGAATAAGTTGTAAAAAATCACTCCTTTCCCAAGGCCTGGTGCACTGACCCAAGCAGGGATATTTGGCACCCCCTATGCCTGCACAGAGGGATGCTGTTGCCCATGTGTGACTCTGCTTGTGTGGAGCAGTGAAAGGGAATGAATAAATGAATTAATGAGTAAAGAACAAGAAATGATGGAAATAAAATGGTGGGGGAGCAGTGGCATGCGTTTGGCTGAAAGAAGCCCCTATTTAAAATAGCTGTCACAATAATCCTTTAAACATTTTTGTAAACTATTATCATGATACTGCTAAAAGAAAAGTAATTAGGCTTGGAGTGTCTGAATTAGATTACATTGCATCTAATGAACCCTCATTTATATTGTTTTAATAAAGTGAAATAGGGAAAGTCAGTGAAACTAATGAGCTGATTTGGGAGGATACTGTTTGATAACCCAGCTAATCCCCCTTAAATCTATTGTTTATTAAAAACCCATAATCTTGGGTATTCCGCTATTGGCTTTTCCCTCTTCTAAATTCTATAGATGAAAATATTTAAATAATTAACTGAAGTGGTTCTCTTTATTGAATAAGCAGTGCATAAACTGACTGGGGCTACCATGTCTATTGAAAGTATTTAGGGCTCTGCAGCTCTTTCTAAACTTGCACTGTTTTTTCTGTAAGGTTCATACTGGTCAGAGCTGTGACATTCTCCTGATGGGGCAGTTTTGAGGTGAGGCCAATGACTGTTTGCCAAGCTGAAGAGATCCTGGTTTGGTGGAGAGCAAGCACCAGCTGTTGTGGGAAATACAAAGGAGATGGACGTGATTGCAGGCTCGTGATAGTGAGGAAATAGATGGGCACTGGTACAATGTCAATGTCGTACTGTATTTTTCAAAGATGACAGTGTCACTGCAGGATGGATAAACACAGGGCTGAGTTCTGTTATGGACAAATGGTGCTCTTCTCGTGGTGCTCACTGACCAGCTACTGAAGCTGACGGGAATTGTCTGTGAGCACCGAAAAGCTGAATTTGGCCAGGAATGTACAAACCGAAATGGTGGCTGGCTCTGATGGGGATGAGGTGCCCTTCACCACCAGGGGCAGCCTGGCTTGTGAGCTGCGGTCAGGCCAGCACCACCCCACTGCTCTGCCTCCTCGTATCCACATGGACCCAGTGAGCCGCAGAGAGCCCTGTTCTCATTCCTCTCCTTTTCCCAGTCTGGAAACAGGGATAAAGAAAAATAATGGTGCTTCCTCCTGCAGCAAAGCCGGGGATGTGCCTGTGCCTGAAGAAGACACCCTTAACCTCAGGGTCGATCGCGTTCATCTTTGCTGCTCCCAGGCATCAAGTGGTCTCCCTGACCTGCAGTACAGATGTCCCAACAGCAAGAGAAATTCAAGCAATGCTTGAATGTAGAAGATGACAGGGATCCCTTTAAGTGAGGGTCCCAAATTATCACCCTGTAAGAAACTGCATGGTTTGCAAGCATCATATAAATTCCCCTCCTGGTGGGAGCGATACACACACTTAATTATTTAGAAAGGGATCATATAAACATTAAAAGCCTAGTTTATGATTTGACCTAATACAAGCAGTTTATGATGCATCTTTTTATAGCAGTCATAAATCATTGCACCAAGGATCTCTCTCTTCCTCTGACGCTCCAGTGATAAGGTGAATGAATTGCTGTTCTTTTTATTTTGTACCCATCAACCGTAATGGTGGGTGGGAAGATATCAAGCATTTATTTTAAAGGATGCTCTAGTACAAATTAAATTCTGGTTCCACCATTAAGAATCCAAGCAAATTAAATAAAAAAATATGTTGACAACCAAAAGAAAAACTTTTTTATGTCCAACATCAACTGGCCATACCACTTCATTCTCAATAGCACTGTGATATACCTCAAAGGAGGGAATCTGCATCAGTTGATGAATTCTTAGAGGTGCTAACTCAGAGATTTGAAAAAAACCCCAACAAACCAACAAACACTCCCTCCTCCAAATTAATGACTTACCCAGTTTGAGATATCTTAAGGAAGTCCACTGTTCAAGAGGTCCTGGCCAGGGAAATCAATTGGAGAAGACCCTAGGTACCAGCATGGCAAAACAGCTCTATGGTGGATCCAAGCAATGGCGTAGTCTCCAGCAGAGCTTGGCTGGATGTGTAAGGTCGGTCATGGCCTCGGTTCCTGCTGCTGTGTCACAGGAGACTTGGGTCAGTTTTGGCAACCGGCCCTGGGAACACGGAGCTCATCAGGATTGAAAAGCATTGACCAAAACCAAGACAACAGCTCAGATCGTGTGCACCCTCTGCTGTTGTGATTGCATTGCTAATGGTGGCCAAGCTGGGCAGCTGGAATCAGGTATGGGTTATGTATGGAGAAATGCAGTCCCACCTCAGAAATACCGTGTGTACTGTAAAAAATCATGATGCGGATTGACTGAAGTGTCTTTATGAGGAAATAAAACTCATTACCTAGCAGGCTTTCAAACACAAGCACATCATTATACTTTTCAAAATTCTGCTGTACGGCCTGGCTTTACTTTCTTTAAAACCAGACGAACTACATTTTCTCTGAACAGAAAGGCTAATGGTAGATTGTGGAGTGGTGAATGCTTGACCTGATTTTATTACCTTTAGCTAAGGAGATTTAGATTCCTTTGAGCAGTCAGTGTCTTAAATGCAGATTCTAGGCGTGTATGCTGTAATAAAAATGTCACAGGTTTTATGTATAGCAAACTTTAATTCTGAATTCTGGACAGTGCTTTTTACTCTATGTGATTCATGAGGCCAGGCCCCCAGTCCTAGAGCTAAGAGGTAGGTAGGGACCCCATTCTGAAGAGTTTCTCAGAATTTCAGAGGTCTTTCCTATGTGCTGTGGAAAAATACGAGCAAAAATTGTAGAAAAATACAGGTTAATCAAACTGTCTTATTTTGGTAAATCCAAAGATATTTCATTTTTATTTTGACCTTTGCCAAGCTGTAATTTTTAGCATAAAGTAATTCAATTTAAAATCAAAAGTTTTAAAAGAAAACCTTTTAGTTTGAAGACATTTAATAACTTAAATGATGTTAACAAAATTCCACAATTGCTGGCATTTGAAAATGTGGTGCACTCTGTCCTTAGACATGCCTGTTCAAACTGGAGCGCAATAGATCAGCATTTTCAGCATGAAGTTAAGTGCTATTAAAATGTTTCTGACCAGTT